GTAATGAACTGCAAGGATGGAAATTCAGATACTGCATACAAGATATTGTACAGACTGATATTCAGGCACTTTCAGTGTTATGACTGCTTCTTCAAAGGAGCTCTGTACCGTTAAATTTCAAACAATAGACCTTAAAATGAGAACAAAGTTAAGTAAAAATATTAATCAATGTATATGCTTAAAAATTTGTACAGTGTATATTCATTTAATGTTTAAAATCAAACTAATGATGTAAATGGAGTTTTTAAAAAAGCTTTTTCAAATGTTACATTGGTTTGAAATTTTGACTTAATTCTGTTCTCAGTTCATGGTCATTACTGATGGTTTCCTCAAGGTCTAAATAATGAAGAGCTTCCTTCAGTGCATGTGCACTTTATGCAATATGGGATTCAAGAAATTTACTGCCATATGATAAATATGCACTCATGCAGTTTTCAAAACCTTGCTAATCTAAGACCTCAATTTTTGAAAGATAACGTGCTTATAAAATCCTTGTATTGTTTGTGCATTAGTTACTCCATTCAATCTGAGATTTGAGAGAATCTTAGAATTATTTCTTTTTTGCTGAGAAGTCAACACAGCAACCTTCATTTTCTCCTAGCTGAGTTGGTAATACTCCATTGCTATAACACTGAATATTCTATAACAGTTTATTAATTTTATTATTCAATATACATTGTATCAAGAAAGTGAACAGATTCAGACTAGGTCAACTTTATAAGATGAAAAAAAAAAAATAAATAAATTTTCACAGACATAAGTCATTGACATAAAATATAAATAAAGGTTTTTGACAAGGTTTCAATTTCAATATCATTGTTGAATAACACAACAAATAAAGTCTTTTGTAAAGGCAATAATCAGCATAGCTGAGATGTAAACAGATGAGGAATATATTAATTTCATCGGTACAATACAACATAATAGATATCCACAAACATGGCTCTTTGGCATTGATCACTATATCCAGGATAAGGAAAGGTAAAGCATATATATCAAATACTTGTACTTCAGAATAACAGAATAGCATAATGAATAAATTAAAATTCATGCACACAGTACTTGGCACTAATCATAGGACATCTAAAATACACCTATTAAATTACTCAAGCACTAGAATATAATACATCAACAATGAATGTCTAACACAGTTAATCACAAGTTTGTACTGCACTGCTTTAGGACCTGACGCAGACTGTCACTCTGCTTGGCTGGCTGTTTGGCTGGCTGCTTGGTTTGTTTCACACTAAGTTTGTTGCGGAGCACACGTGCCACTGCATACCCACGAACAGTCAGAAATACACTCACGATATCCTCCAAGAGTGCTGAGAGGTCCTTGTTTACACAATCGTGGAACAGTTCCTTCAGATAATGATTCACCATGAAAGAATCCATCATGTGTTCCTTCATCTTGCAGGTGTTCAATGTCTCGCACTGAATGTCATTGAAATCGACAATCTTTCTGATGGAGATTTCCAGTTCACGCACCAGAAGGTAGAATTTATCGGCTGGTCTCACTAGGCCTCCACGACTGTTCTTTGTAAGCCACTGGTCGTACTTAGCAACAAAGTTTGTACTGCTGGTCTTGCTGGTCAGCTTGTCAAGTAGGTTCAGTCTCTCGGATCGATTTTCTTTCGACATTCGGTAACACTTCTTCCTCAGGTTGGCCACAATGAATCCCGATATGTAGAACAGAATTGTTTGGTCATTGGTAGAAATCTGATATGAGAGTTCCTCGGACACTTTCTTGTTTTCCTTCAGAAGGCCTCCAAGAATTTCACTAGGTATCTCGAGAATATAGTCCTGAAGGAAGTTTATAATGTCTTCTCTCTTTTCTTCACATCCCTTTTCACTGAATAGATTAACACATTCACTTTGAACACAAGAAGACAGTCTCAACTCATGGATCCTTGAGAAGAAGAGCTCCCTTTCACTGGAATCGCACAACGAGAGACTGAAGATGTCTTTGAGCTTGTTGAGGAAAAATGCATCCAGGAAGTCTGTGTCAATGCAAAATCTAGCCAACACCTCCATGCGATTGTCCCCGAACAACTTGTACATTGGATTGTTGCACATCTTCTCAAGTGTTTTCTTACTAGCCTCGGAACAAATCTTCTCGAAGTCCACTAATGTTGCGGCAGCAGGTGATCTGTGGTCTTCTTTAGCCTTCTGGGTTACTCGATGATCACTTGCTGTAAGAAATATAAGAATTAATTATATGTTACACATAAAATTGTTTTTTTTTAAGCTTAGATACTAGATACTTAGATACACTAGAATACTGAATCAGTTAAGTCTTTTGAAACAACATGTTTTATAATAATTTGATTAATTTTTGTTAAAAGACAACAAAAATCATATTTTAAAAAAGTCAAATGTGTACAAACCTTTTGTTCTGCTTTTTTTGTGCTGTTTGGTCATATGCCCCCGAAATCCTGAAATGGATTTCAAAATCTTCTTGCAGTCTGGGCACTGGTAACTTGGAACCTCAGGTGGGCATTGGTTCTCTGCTGAATCTTTATCCTCATGGTCTGTGTAGTCACCTAAAAGTTCATCTAAATCAATGTCATTGTCCCAAGACAGAACATCTTCTTTACTACACATGGTGCTCGAATATTTCGTTCATATAAAATGATGAAATGGTTGCAGATCAACCACCCCCCTATAATGTTTATACACCGTGTGCTCCTCATTATTTTTTTAACATGCTTAAAACAACAACAGGTACCACACGAGCGCTTTATAAACACACAGGCAAGCCCCTGATCACCTTGATCGTCCCCTAGTACTAGCGCTATCAAAACTACTTTGATTAATTCATTAATAATTAGTAACTGGGTACTATCAACATAATTAAATCGTTGTCTGTAACAACAAACCAGAATTTCTTCGCTTTTGGTCAAATTAGAGGTCAATTACCTATCTATCGAACCATTAAACCGCATTGTTGATAGCACATGAAGTTAAATCAAATACCTACTATACCAATTTTATATAATCATAACAATTATTATTCCATACCTGCAAATACTGGATGGGAAAAAAAATCGGCGATCTTCTTGTTTACATCCAAAATATGCCATCTTAGATCTCGCGAGGCTCATTTGAATATGAATAGGGTTGCGCGAGATAACGCGAGACTTGCGACAGTTGCCAATCCCGTTAGTATATAGGTCCCTGGATTTAATAACGATTTTAAAGAAGACCACTTCCAGCAATCTGTCTGGCAATTTCTTGACTGATGATTTTTCTTGCAACTAAGAGAAGGCAAATTTGTCCTAATTTCGCACGAGTAGAAGTAGGAGTTTATGACACTTTGAACAGTGATTGATGACCTTCCGACTTCAGTGCTATCCAGAACACTGGATGTGAAATAACTCTGAACTAGTGATTTCAAAGCCGCAACATCGTCTACAGCATTGTGTGCAGAGTAGACTATACCTGAAAGACACTTGCAAAGCTTTTCCTGTCGATAAGATGGTAATCCAATTCTCATAATTTTGAAGAGTTTCAGAGTGTCCATAAAACCATCCACTTCTTCTGAAAATTCATGATTTTGTTGCAAGCTAGGACAGCATAAGAAAAGCATAAGAAAAGGACAGTCAAATGACTGGATGTTTTGTCCAAACAAAATCAATTTTTTACCAAATTGATTACAAAAACTAAGTAAGCTGTCAATAGCTGCAGAAATTGTAACTGTGTCCTTTACCTTTTCAAAGTGGAATAGTTTTCCAATTTTTTTTTTTACACTTATCCCAGTTACTTTCTCTGCCTCTTTAGATATTGGTTCCTTTGGTAGAGGTACACTTGAAACTTTCTTCCTCTTCCAGAAATGCCAACCGAGTAATATGATATGTTCTATCTGAAATATTAGATGGATAATTAATACACAAATAAATCAAAATCATACAAAATTATACTGTTTTCAAATGTGAAAGGTTCCCATAGGATCTTGGAAGTATTATTATCATATTATGCCTCTGACAGAACACCATACAAAACTATTAAGCTCCACAGAAACCAAAAATCAATTCTTTTTTTTTTCCAATTTGAAAGGTCCCCTAAGATTCTTGAAGGTCTTGTTATTGTCAAATTTAGTCGGATTGATTTTAATGTAGAACTAACTAATGATTCTAAGAAATATATTAAAATACTTCAACAAATAAGTGATATCATTACATCCGCACATAAACAGTGCATGTAAATGATTACAAACCCATTGATGACATTGAAATGTTTTAAAAACATGAACTAAAACGGTCCTTTAACATGTCTTGCTTTAAATTATTATCGTATCAGGTATGTTAATAATAACAGAGTTAAAGTCTTCCTGCAACTTTTCAGATGTCTTTTATGGTCCTTTTGAATCATTTTGATGAGGAAAAATATGTTCATACCCCCCCTTTATCCGTGGTGAAGGTTTCTCCAGGTTGTAAACAAAACCAACAACCATATTCACCATTGAATGAAGTATGGTTGTTCGTCATGCATCTAGCAGGTAGATTGCATACACAATTGAGTACTGTTGCTCTCGAGCGAAAAGGCGTTTAATTACAGTCTTTCATATATACACAGTCTTCTAATTCATACATTTCTTTGTGAAACAGCTATAGATAGACCCACATGATAGGATCATAAAAGATGATCCACATGATGATTTCTGGTAGAAATCCACAATCCATAATATACATGTATTATCGTAGAGTAAGGCCACTTGGTCCCCACAAGAATCGGCGATTTTTTTGCACCGGTTGTGCATAAGTCATTAATTTACCAACTTCCTTGGAAAATCTCTCCGCACAAATCGCAACAGATATGTGGAAAGCCTCCACCCATTTGTTAATTGTTTTCAAAAGGGCCCTTGTCATTTGCCTTTACAAAGATTAAATGGTCATCTTTATCCATGAGTTTCCTCATAATCGAGGTCCTTGGGCAATAAGGTAGCAAATTTAACAAACTCATTAGCATGAATTTTGACACTTATTTGTACATCTACTCCCAATGTTAGGTCAGTTGCTGGGTGAGAATCCCCCTCTTTTGCAGGTTCGGACAACAACTTCGTACCTTGTGCAGTTATTTTCTTGAAGAGTGGAGGGTTGGGCGACACTGCTTCCGAGAAGACTGGTTTCGAAGACACTGATAGTGGCTGTTCAGGCTTTATTTCTATGGCGGATGTTTGGTAAGTTTGGTCCTCTTTGGCTTTGACGCTATCTGGTTGAAGCTGAATATAAATAAAATAGGGAAAGCATGGACTAATGTTTAATAATTGAATTTTTAACCTCATCTGTAGTTCTATAGCTTAGTAAGTTCAACTATCACTTAACATCGACCTTTAAATATAACCGACATACTAGTATATGATATAGCACTCAAGTTTAATCTACATTGTAGATATATTGGGCAGAACATAGCACTGAGTCATTGTATAAACGTAGCAAATAGTGCAAATAAAGTGAGAATAGCAAAGTACCAAGGCTTACTTTATGTAGTTTCACCATCGTGGATAATGCAAATTATACTTAACACTTAAGCTTCATGTAAGAATTGCGCATATAATACAAATTATACCGGTAATAACATAGCACTTATGCTTCATCTTAACATTGCACATAACGCTAATATATTGTGGCCAGCAGAGCATTTAGGCTTTGTATAAACATAGCACATGCTGCAAATATTTCGGGAATAACATAACACTTACGATTTACATTATCATTGCGTCTCCATATGAATAAACAATTCTCGACAGGGACGTTAAACAATATACAATCAAATAATCTATATATCTCCATACGAGTGAACAATTCTCGAGAGGAACGTTAAACAATAATACAATCAAATAATCATATCATTGCACGTAATGCCAGTATACTGAGAATAACATAGCACTTAGGCGTCATGTATATATTGCACATAATGCTTATATACCGAGGATAGCATAAGACTAAGGCTTAATGTATAACAGAAAATGCAGGAATCTTGTAAAAGGTAAATTAAGAACAAAGCAGTAATGAGTTCTAGTGCTAGGGCGGGGCTAAATAAGTAGGTAGTGAAAATGCATTATTCTGTCTCCAGACAAATATATATAAATGTTTGAAACATTCTTGTCTGCCGCGCTAAATATACACCTTTAATTAAAACAGACAGAACATATTAGCCTAGGTAATTTATACATGTATACTATAATAGTGCTTTGACAGTGTAAAATTGACTAATCTTAAACGATATTTTAAAGTACTAATTCAATATACACATAGATAAAAGAAACGTTAAGCATTTTTAAATGATTATCTATCGTTTTATGATCTAAAGTGTTTATGAATTATTTGCACAGCAAAAATTACAACCAGAAGCCCATGTCTTCATCGCTGTTTCGCTGCGGATGAAGGTTCATGTCTGTCTGCGTTAAGCCAATAACACGCCCCTAACCTGTCTGCAGGGTTATGATACACTACACTATTAAGATGCACCCTATTACACAGAATTGGGTCATGACTTTCAGAAAAACCCCTTGTTTCCAGAACACTAGACCGTTTTAGGATCAATAATCCTTTAGAAGAGCGTTAGCTTCCTTCACCCGTTGGTTGTAGGTGGAATTCTCGTTTAAGCTGCGTTAGAAATGCAGTCAGTTTAGACACAAGACACTCCCCCCTCCCCCCGCGATAAATACGATGAGGTGCTGGTGATTGTAGCGTCTAAAACTGCAGATAAAATCACATATTAATGGTAACACTTGTCAACAAGTCACCCGCTTATTCCAAAGAAAATTACTTCTTAAAATCCGGAAATGTCGAAAACGGATACAGCTTGACGATCTGCTCCAATGAATAACTTAAGTCTTTTCACTTTGTTGTCTGAATTTGCACAGAACACCAACCAGAGCATTTGTGAGATCCGGACCAGTCAGTAGATGCTAGTTCAATGAAGCGTCTTTGTATCTTGCCGAACGGTCAAACACTACTCCAAGTGTTCCAGGCTTCCTCGGTTGATAAACGCCATTTTCCCATTTCGCGTAAAGGTACTTCTCACTTGTTCATGGTTGCGGATCATATGAAACATCTTATATCTCAGGGTAGTGAGATCCTCAGCAATGAACAGGTCTTTATATTCGTTGTGATTTTTAAAATCTTTTTTGCAGACATTATTTAGTTCATTGTTTCTCTGTTAACAAAACGAACAATCACCTGTCGCGGCTTCCCTCCACCATTGGGCTGATTGGTACCAATTCTACTATACAGGAACTCACTGTGATTAAACTCTAACCCAACTATTCACTTCTTCTGTAATACGCATGATCCTAATGTTTTCCCTTCTGCCATACTGGATTAATTTATCAGTCTCATAAGTATTGATTCTTACCCCTGTATTCAGGTTATTGATGACCGTTTCATGCCTCTTAAGGTTCCTTTCAAGATTTCTAGTTAGAGCGTTCCAAGCGCAGGAAGAAGTAAGTGGAACACTTTTTCTACCATGACATCACACTCACTGTAGCTTGTAGATTTCGGATTCAGTTTACTTAGAAGGTTACTTAAAAGATCATTAAATTTTTCATTTTCTAAGTCATTTAATCGACTGACATGCTTCATTCAAGTTTGCACATAAACATCAAAGTCCGTACTTTGCGAGTTCTGTGCAGGAGATATTTCATTGTTGTTTTTCCACGCCCACCCATGTTTCAAATACTTTACATCAATTTCAATAACTGCAGAGAAACACAAAAAATTATATCAACCGACTTTTTACTATTATATATTAAGTTGATGATTGACGATTTTGCTTGTATCTCATGTTTGTAAATGTTTGTACCACTTAAGCTTTATTTACCCGCGAAGTTCATCTTAAAATCGGAAGTACGAGTTCAATCTCGATCCCTACTCAAATTTGACATCGGAAAAAAATTGCTTAATGGAAAAAATCAATAGCTTGAAAAGTTACTTGATTCATGTTCGTCCTTCGGACATATGAAAAACTGTATAGTATGGAAAGGTTTACCAAGAAAATCCTTGAATCCTCGAACTGGTAAGACATTAGTTGACCCAGGAAGAATCTTAGCTCTAGACCCATCCTTGTACAGTAGGACATATTCGTCCATAGGAAGAGACTTGTTCATCTGATGCTTTTTTGTAGCCAGATCTAAGACGACCTTTTCTGTACTCGATGGAAACATTTCAACA